GCTTTTCCTTTGAGGGCGGCTACATAGCACTTGCGGGACTCGAGCTGATCGCCTCGCGTCACCCCGACTCCGAAGTCTGTAGGGAACTTCATCGCCAGGTAGTAGGTGGAGACTATTGCTCGTAAGTCGTGGGTGATGGCCGACCTACTATTGCCTTGTACGGGGAGGGAGTCACGACCACTAGGAAGTCATGGTTGAGCCTTACCACGCTAGGCCAGGTGCCGACCTCCACAGGTACAGTGACTCTCCCTAAAGGCCTGACCACCTCTCCACTGAATCCCACTAGTGGAGTGCTTGCGGGCTTCAGGTCGCTTTCCCGGAGCTAAAGTTGATCGAAGGCCGCTTTGAAGAGAATATCCTTCGAGCTGCCTGATTCAATGAGGATGCGCTTGACCTCGAAGTCGTTAATCTTAATCTTTATGACGACCGCGTCGTCACGGGGATTATGGACCCCTCGCACGTCGTCTTCCGTGAAGAAGATCGGTCCCTCCATCCTTAGCCGCTTCGGGGGATTCTGTTCTTCCCTAGCAGCCTTGCGGGCTGATGACCAAGCTGCAGCCGAAGTGCAGCCTACGACAATTGATCCTCCAACAATTACATGTATAGTCCCTCGGCTGGTCTCTCATCGGGAGGCTGCCTCTGCGGCTATTCTGCCTGCCTGCTGGACTCGGGAGCATCCTTACTCTACTCCCCCTGCCAACCTGCTTTATTATTATTATTGTTCTGTACAAAGTATCTCAGATATCCGCGACGGATGAGTTCCTCTATCTCGTCGCGGAGGTTTTTACAATTTTCGGTACTATGACCGTGATATCTATGAAAGCTACAATACAAATTTTTATTCCTAACATTGGGATCGGCCTTCAGCCGAGGTGGCCACTTCACATATGGGGCGTCCTTGATCGCCATGAGGATCTCGGCCCGCTTCGCGTTGAGGGGCATGTAGTCCCTTTCCGCTGCCGGAGCTCGGAGAGGCTGAGTTGGCTTTGCCCCCCGAGTTGGGTCCTTCTTCTTCTTGTTGTTGGTTGGAGCAAGGGGCTCTGGTTCCCTCTTTCTTTTTTCAAGGACCTGCTCGCCCTTCTGGTTGATCTCCTCCTCTATCCCTATGAACCGATCCGCAAGTTCGAGGAACTCGGTCACAGTCTTGGGTTGATTAACAACCACGTGCCACTTGAATTCTTTGTGGGTTATTCCCCGCTTGGCCACAGTGAGTCGGACTGCAGGGTCTAGGTCGGGTATCTGTAAGCAAGCGTCATTGAACCGCTTGATGTAGTTTCGGATGGAATCTCCTTCCCTCTGAACTATGCTAAGGAGGCTTTCTTGGGTCCTCGGGCACCTTTTACTGGTGATGAAGTGGGAGGTGAAGACCTGTACGAACTGCGCCCAATTCTTTATTGAACCTAGTGCGAGGTTTCGGTACCAGGTGCGGCTACTCCTTTGAAAGTGGTGGAGAAGGCCACACACATACAAGATTCACTCGCTCTTGCCAAGTGCATCTGGGACTGAAAGGCGTCCACGTGGTCATTGGGATCGAAGGATCCATCATACTTGTCCAGTGGGGGGAGCTTGAAGTCCCTTGGCATGGGGACAACAAGGAGCTCTGGTGACAGAGGGAAGGAACTGAAAGAAGTGGAGTAGCTTTTACCTCGTCCAAACTTACCTCTACCTTACCTCCGAGTTCGGGCAGATCGCGGGTGGCAGTTCGGCGAGCTCGGCAATGCCTTCGCTGCTTCTTAGCCGGCTCGACGTTGGTACTGCTGGCCTCAGTATTGCTGAGCTCGATTGGCCTAGGGAAAGGCTCAGACGGCTGTCGGTAGCTGCGAATAGAGGGACATTGTCACAGGTCGTCAGCCAGCACTTTGAACTGGTTTTCGGCAAGTGAAGGTCCGAACTGCGAACGCTGAGGTGATACTGTTATGGTCCCGCGCGTAGGATCTCGTCACGGGTCGGTCCCCGGGGAGAAAGCCCTGCTTTCCCTTGCGTGCGGCCTTGCGTGCATAACCTATTGTTGAAAACCGAATGGGTGATTTGTCCAAGAGACCACCCGAACTCTCCTTACTCTTCTCTTGACTGGGAAAACTGAATGCCTTTATTTCAATTCGTGGCTCCTTAAATAGGAGATTACAAGAGGAGACATTCGACTAAGCTAGGACAATCCAACTTTAAATCAAACTCCTACTTCTAACAGACTTCTAACAACACTCAGTTCTTATCTAATAGATAAAAACAAAACTAGGTAAGTAAGAACAAAACTCCTACTAAGAAGATAAGATAAGATGAGATGAAGATAAGGGATGAGGAATGGACTAGCTGGCGGCGAGTTGGCGAGCAGATCTGACATGGTTAGATAAGTGTGGACCCACCCTGATGAGTTGTCGTGTGGGTCCCGCCCTACTGCTGCTGCCGGGTGGCGTGCGCGTCTCACAGTGCTGCTGCCGTGCAGTGCGTGCTGCTGTGCGCGCAGCCGGGCGGTGCGTGCTGCTGTGCGCGCTGCCAGGCGGTGCGTGCGACGCGCTGCCGGGTTGTTGTGCGGCGCTGCCGGGCGGTGCATGCTGTTGGGCGGCCCACTATGCGTGTTGTTGCCTAAGACTGCGCCGCAGTGCGCTGCCGGGTGGTGTGTCCATAACATCACACCCCTCCCGGACTCCGAGCTTGTCCTCAAGCTCGAATTGGGTGTCGAAACACCCTCAAAGGAATCCTGGGTGGTTTTGCCCTCCTGAATCGGGTTCCCATGGAGGGGGTTCATCCTCATCTTCCTCTTGTTTCACTAGGAGGCAGAAAAGTCTCTTGCACCTGTGCCCTGCTGAGTAGAGTT